ACACCCCCCCCCCCCCCCAAACGCACATCTACATGGCACCACTCAGGAACAGTTAAGCCAAATTAAGAAATGTGATTGTAAAGTGCCTCATTTCACAGGCTGAGTTGTCACACAGTGGGTCAAGTCTGTGCAGGGAGATATTTCGGAATAGCTATTCCTGATTCATTCCCAGTGTGGACACTTATCCTGGAATGAGAAGTGCCTTGAGCAAGCCAATTCAGAATAAACCACTCTTATTTCCAAGATAAAAGCGTCCCTCACAGGGAGTGAATCAGGAATAATTAATCAGGAGTAGCAGTTCTGCTGTAAAGTCACATCTTATTTTAATCCAAATTAATATTCCTGTGTACCCAAGCCCTAGTGCACTTTAATTCAGATCTCTGGTTAATTTGGTTTAAACTTCCCTACAGCAACAGGCTAGAAATTAGCAAAAGCAACAGAAGAAAGTTTTGTGAGAATTTGACAGATTACAGGCTGCAGAGATTGTTGTCAAAGTTTCACTGGAAATCTGGCTTCATCTAATTAATGACGCCTGGAGCCACCCAAGGACGAGAAGCTATGGAAACTTTCATTACCTAGGCAACATGGCTGAGCCCAAACACAAAGTTCATAGGTTTCGCTGAGAACAGGAAAAGGCTGAATTGTGCTTGAGGGACCTTAATCTGGAGTTCTTCCCTTCTCTTCTAGCAGGGGCGAAGACCCAGATTTATCCCCCAAATCTAGGTTTTGTTTAAAAGTTGCCTCCCTATCTGCTAAATTAAGGTGGAAGAAACTGGAAACAGCATCACTGCTCTGAACTCTGATTTCTGCCAGTGGCTGGAAGAGTTGCACTTGTCCGGGACGTTGAGCAGACAAATGTTGTTTTAACCCACTTGGTTTGGATGAAACTTGGTATCGGGAGAGGCCTGCTGCTAAGTGTTGTGTCCATCCCTCTATGCCCTCTGATACCAAGTTCCCCATACTGAAGCGTATGTCTGTTGACAGGAGTGGTACGAGGCGGTCCCCGCCTGCACGGCCGTCAATGGAGTGACATCATCATCGGTTGCCCCGTGACGTCATCATCGGGTGCCCCGTTGAAGGCGACGGCCAAGTCGGGCTATCGTCGCAGACCGCCCCTGTCTGTTGGACTCAGGTACTAATTCCTGCAGCACAGATAAGTAGCGGTGTCCTGCTCCAATCCATCTTCTCGCCAAGGCTTTCAAACACTTTCTTGGCAACCCTGAATGCATGCTTAAGAGGGTATATTTTCTTTTGCAGACAGATACATCTCTGCACAGTAGCAATACCTCAAACTCAGACAGAGTCATCACTAGGGCAAAATATGAAAATCTAATGTCATTTCATCTGGGATAGCAAACACAAACATCCATTAATTGTAACTGCATGGCTGCTACATGAAGAGGTAAAGCTATCTGAGTGCCTTAGCTGCATTCCCATCTCTGAATATGCTTTGACTTGTTTTAAGATTCACCTTAACTCTGAAATTCCTGAGATAATACTGCTTACTTGGGGGATTAATTAAAAAAAAATCTTGTTTCCCCCACCCCACCCACGTATCTAATATTCATTCTTGAACTTACAACAGAAATTCAGAGTTACTAACACCTTGCGAACGGAGATTGTTCACAACATGGAAATGTTCATAACTGACCAAAACGTTATGGTTCTTTCAAAAGTTTACAACGGAACATCAACTTCTTGCAGCTTTGAAACTTTACTATGAACAAGAAAAATGCTGCTCCTCCCCCACCCCCACTTTGTTTTAGTAGTTTACATTGAACACAATAATGTAGTGTGTGTGTGACATGTGATTGCGTACTTCAGGTAAGGTACCTGATCAGTTCATAACTCTGGTGTTTGTAACTGTAAGGTTCTACTGTAGCTCCGTTTAAACATGGCTTTTATCTGGGAATAGTGAGAGAGACTCCCAGCAGATAACACGAATGTTTGCCATGAAGTTCATATACATTCTCCCCGAAGCCCTCATCTGAAGAGTTAACTAGTCAGAGAAAGAGCGAATGTACAGATCATTCAGCTGAGTATAGCCTTAAAAGCTGGACTGGCATAGCTATGCTGGATGGAGGGTGTGACTATTATTTTAATTTGTTTTTTAAATCAACAGTTACCCTAGCAAAATCCTTGCTGTAGACGCAGCTACCCCAGTACAATTGTGCTTATCCTTGAACTACCTACACGAGTAGAAGGCCTTTTTCACTGATCTTACTGCACCTACATAAGAGGCTTTTACAGAGATAGCTCTAACAGCAAACCATCCTAGTGTAGACAAGTCAGCACTTTAGGGAAATTTCTGTTTCTGTTAAAGAGCCTTGGTTATGAGCACTGCAGGTGGCCTCCCAAAACATTGAGCAAGTGAGACTGCAGAGGTGAAAGCAATCCAGACTAGGGATGTTAAATATCGGTTAGCTGAATAGTCGAGTAACCTCGTGAATTCTTATCAGGTAGTCGACTATTCTGTAGTCCCTGGGGGGCAGGGCCGGTGGCCAATGTGCTCCGGCCTCACTCCAGAGGAGCCCCCGACACTTTGCGCTGCTGCCTCTGATAAACAGCTAGCAGTGTAGGGTGCCAGGCCGGAGCTAGTCCACGAGAGGAGCCAGTTTAAAAGTTCCCCATACTGTTTAAAAACCAGACCGGCTCCCTGTTGTCCCATGATGCTGCCTCTGATAAAGAAGCAGCAGTGCAAGGTGGCAGCAGCCCCTGTCTGGGGGGGTTTGAGCTCCTGGACCCAGTGTGAACCAGAACTGAGCCGGGCTGCCTGCCCACCTGGCTCCTAATACACTTTAAATGCAGAGTCACAGGGTGGGTAGGCCCTGGACCCGGCGTGAACCAGGACTGAGCCGGGCTGCCTGCCCACCTGGCTCCTAATACACTTTAAATGCAGAACCGCAGCGGGGGTAGGTCCCAGACCCGCTGCAAGCCAGGACTGATCCAGGCTTCTAAAAAACGTACTGTGGGGGAGGGGGAAATGCGCATACGTCTATAGCATTAACCCATGAGCTTCAGCTTATCGGTTAATCGGCTACAGGATGACATCCCTGATCCAGAGAGCTGGGTGATGGGATGAAGCAGAGGTACATCTCACTCTCCTAGACCCTGCATTCTAGCAGAGCGCTCTAGCCCTCCGACGGCCTTTGTGAAAGAACCTCTATTAAGAGCACATATAAAGAGCAGCACGTGCGCCTCTCGGTCCGCAGCAGCGAAATGCATTAAGAATTTCCTACCTGGCGCCCAGCACCCTTGAACTACCGGATAAGAGGGCAGCAAGGCAAGGTCTGAACGCAACCCGGGAGGTGTAGCAGAGGAGCAAGGAAACGAAGGCGCATTCCACCCGGAAAAAGAGCACTGGGACTAGCTCCCCAATTGCCACTTGCCTCCTGCAAAACAGGCTACTTTGCTCTGAATAAAGCAGCCGGTGACGTCCGTCCCACCCGTCACCTGGGGCATCCCCGGCCTTATTTGGGGAGACTTTTCTACTGACGTTGCCATGGCAAAACCAACGGGCTAATCTAGAGCTGTTCAGCAACACGGAGAGAAACCACGTGAACAATGGAACAGGCTCTGGAGCGGGTGTAACCTGAAGGTGTCTGTAACACAAGAGCTTCCCAAAGCACCTGGGCTCCCTGCAAGTGACACCATCTTTCCTTACCAGCAAATGCTAGAGGATTGTATTGCTAAGATCTTCGGCATTCAGCCCCACAGACCCCCTTCCTCAACCCCCCCCCCACCGCGACAGTGGCACTCTTCACAGCACCCCCCAAGAAAAGCTTGCTACATTATTCCCCAGGGAAGAAAACAGCAGAGGAAGAACGTCAGACTGACAGAACACAAGGATGCAAAAGTGACGTGCGGTCATCAGAATGAATATTCACGGAGAATCTCAACTCCCCCGTGTTTTGCCTTGTGCACTAGTGCACGAGTGGGGCTGGCGGAGAGCGGATACTTCCAGCTGATACTTCCGCGGAGCATGGCAAGGGCAGTGACGGGGGGGGGTTCAGTGTGCAGCTCTAGCCCCGGCCAGACTCTGAGAAGAGAGGAAGGTGAGTCACGCGCTCTGCCATTGTTCTCTAAAGAGGGACTCCCCCTCCCGCATCTCTCCTCCCCAGGCCTGCGGTGCTATGGCCCCATGATGCACTGCTTCCCCTCTTCGGGTTGCTGATCTCACCATTACTGCCCTCTCTCCAGTGTCCTTTATTTACTCTCCAGTGAAGACTACGGAGGAGCTGGTGGTAACCCGACTCCTCCACCTCCTCCCCGACAGAGGCTGGTTTCCTTCTGGCCATGGACAACCTCAAGAATCAGTCCCGTTAGCTCCATCATCTGGGCTTGACCCTGCGCTTTCACCTGTGGGCCATATCAGAGCTAGACTAGCTCAGGAGAGTCTCCCTTCTTCGCTCTCGGAGAGGACGTTTATAGTAGGCTTTGCAACTGCTTCTGTGTCCACGCAGTCCCTTGCACAGGACACCAGTGCAGCTGCCCCTCTGGACCAGAGGCCGAGATGCATTAGGTCAAAATTCTGGCAACGCGGAGTCCTGTGAGCCTCAGGGTTTTGTTATGGAAATTTTCCGAAGTCAGTGAGAGGATGCAAATGAACATGGAAGAAAGACAGGGATGTTGGGGGCCCTGCGGGGCTCCGGCTCCATCCACCCTGCATTAGTCAAGCTCCTCGCTCGGGTGTCTTGCACCCACAGTCCCAAAAGTGAGCAACCCAGAGGGCTTCTGTGCTGTGTCCATCCTGGAGTTTGTCCCCTTCCCCCGAGCGCCCAACACCCTGACTTGGAGCCTCGCTACAGATGCAGCTTTTCAGGAGTTGCAGCCCGGCACAGGCACCGCCCACCCTGTTACCCAGGGGTGATTCTCGCTTGCAGCACGGGGTATAGCTTGGTGCCATGCACCAGGATGTGTCCAGGTGCAATGCGAGCTCTGGCTTTGATCTGCAAAACCCCCGTGGTTTGGGCCTCATGTAACTTACAAAACTCACCACCTGGCAGCTAAACGCTACAGATGCCCAACCTAGATTGGTTCGTCCTGGTAGCGTGTCCTCAGAGGAAGGCTCTGACTTGAATTCACCCTGCAAAAATAAGGTAACCCCCATCATCACCCCCCAAGTAACGTGTCACCACGATTGCTCCTACAAAGCCTAACCTCTGACAAGCTAAAGCAGGGGCAGGGAACCTCAGCTCCTGGGGCCGCACACGGCCCCTGGCTTGCCTGGATCTGGCCCCTGAGGCTTAGGGGTCCTCCCAGCACTGGGGAGCCCACGCTGGCGCTCCAGCCCCCCGCTGCCCACTGCAGGGCTGGAGCACACAAAATCTACCAGCCTGGGCCCCACTAGGCTCAGTGGGGAATTTCTGCATCTCAGCTGACGCCACTGTCAGTGAGGGGTTTGGTGTTTTTTGGCTTCTCACTCATGTGCGGCCCCCACCCCTGAGCTAGAGATCAAGCTTTCGACTTGCACTGTAAAGTGGGTTTCGCACACCTCTCTTCTCTCAGTCCTCCCCAACTTCCTGTCCCGTCTTCACCCAGATGTTCTACAAAGATAATACCACAGCCCTGATCCTACTCAGCATCCCCGTCACCATCTAAAGATCCTACAGCCCCTCTGGCCCACTACATCCCCTCTTCCAGCAGCACCCTCAAGTCCACTGCAGAGTCGCCCCTTTCCGAAATACAACCCCCTTCCTACAAGCATGAACGATACGCCCTGACCACAATCCTGCACTGAAACTGCTCAAATGAGCCCGTCCTACCCCAAGAAATCCAGATCGTTCCGCAGAACGGACCTTTTCCTTTAACCACCCTACGAACGCGCGCCCTCTGCAGCCATCGCCAGAAATCATTTCTCCATCCTCCCGAGAAAGACTCTCAACAGCACTGGGCTGAGAAGAGACCCTCGTGCCACCCCTTACGCTGACAATTCTCTTTTCACATTTGATTGGAGGTGTATCGATTAGCCAGATTGTAATCTATTTAAAACTGCCTGCACTAATTCTGTATAATGCGGGGGTGGGTGGGTTGTTTTGTACTTAGAATATCATGCGGACTCAAGTCAAATGCTTTACCAAATATAATTTAACGGATATTTTGTATCAACCAAACCCGTAATCCCATAAAATGACGACATCCAGTTTGAGAAGACCTGGGTCCCATAAAAACACACAGGCTGACATTAACTGTGCTTCCAACACTTGACGCTTTAGTAACTGCATCCCATATGAGCCTCTCTAGCATTCTGCCTGGGATCAGTATCAGCCTATAGTTAACAGGGTCAATCCTAGGGATGTTAAATTTAGATTAATGGGCTAATCGAATAGTCAATGCAATTTGTATCGACTATTCGATTAAGCGATAAGGCGCCTCAGCTTTGAGGGGCTGTTGCTACACTTCAAAGGCAAAAACGCTGCAGGGAGCATGGGGTCCCCCACTGGCCCCGTGCTCCCCACGGCGTTTCAAAGTGGCAGCACCACATGGAGCCCAGGGTCAGCAGGGGAGTCCCCAGCTGACCCTGGGCTCCACACAGTGCTGCTGCTGTGAAATGCTGCATGCAGCCCAGGGCCAGCTGGGGACCCAGGCTGCACATGGCATTTCAAAGCGGCAGACGCCAGGCTCCACCCTGGGCTGCATGAGTGTTTCAAAGCAGCAGTGCCACATGGAGCCCAGGGCCTGGCCCCGGATTCCACACGGTGCTGCCTGTTGAAGCACCCCCTCCACACTCCCACCTCTTTCTGATCAAAGCAGCGGGGGGATTAGTCGACTAGTGTTGGAGAGTTGACTAGTCGTTCTCATCCCTAGCCATTCCCATCGGTTGTTTTCAACACGCAACCTGACACAAAATCAGCTGGCCTGCCACTTTTCTAATGCTTCCAAGAAAATGGCATTGTGGGATTCTGCGTTAGCCCACTGCTGATTCTGTGGGTAACCCCCAAGAAGCAACGCAGCGGCAAAAGTGGAGTCTAGAACAAGAACTACCAGTTATGAGCCAGGTCTGCACACAATGGAAGTTCCCTGGGGCAGGCACCAGGCTCTCTCTAGGCCTGGCTAGGGCCTGCAAGTGTGTGGTGATCACATAGAGGGTATGTCTACACTACCCTCCTAGTTCGAACTAGGAGGGTAATGTAGGCATACCGCACTTGCAAATGAAGCCCGGGATTTGAATTTCCCGGGCTTCATTTGCATAAGCCGGGCGCCGCCATTTTTAAAACACCGCTCATTCGAACCCCGTGCAGCGCGGCTACACGCGGCACGAACTAGGTAGTTCGGACTTGGCTTCCTAGTTCGAACTACCGTTACTCCTCATTCCACTCAGACATACCCTGAGTGTAAGAAGCCACCTGGGAATTAACATGGACAGCGGTCCCTCCTGTTGACACGAGACCCTCCACACTTGCTGTCTGCATTGAACTCCCACCGAGAGCGGGGAACCCCCATCAGCTCAGGCCTTCTCCAGAACCGCGGAAATTACGACTCCATCTCGGAGGTGCTGCAGAGGCTGTGCGTGGCCAGTAGGAGGGGCCACAAGGGCCATGTGGCCAGGCATTGCATTCCACCCACAAGCAAACGGGGGGAGGACACAGAGGTGCCTTTGCCATCTCCAGGGAAAACACCCACATCCTCCATCCAGGGTCAGAATAGCGTAGAGCCTCGAGTCCCGAGCACCACGGGAGCAGAAGCCGTTCATATCTCGAAGTGACGTTCTGGCTTCTCTTTCAAAAGTCTACAGCGGAACACTGGCTGAACACAGGTTTGACACCTGATGATGCGGAAGAAAAACGTTGCTTTTATCCATCTTAATGTAAATGAAAGAAGCACAGAAACGGGATCCCTATCCTGCCGCATCTTTATTTTTAAACTTTCCTTTGGGTTGGCAGTTTACAGTTCACACAGAACTGTTTGCTTTTGGGGGGCTGTTCCTACTCTTGCCGGATTCCACATGTCTGGCTCCAAATGAGGGGTGCGGTCGAGGAGTCTGTCTGTAACGCCGAGCTCCTACCATGCCGTTCCCTATGCAAGCTGAGCAATGGGCATATGCCCCACAGAGGTGTCTGCTCCAGGAACCACAGCTGGGGACACAACACCCGTTCACAGGACAGCAGGACCTTCGAGTCTAACGGGGGCTACCCAAGGCTAAGTGTCACCCACACACTTCCTGGGTGAGACGTGCTGTCCCACCTAGTGGGACTGAGACCACTTACCAAGAGAATAATGAGTCTGCTCTACAGCCTTAGCTGGGAGCTCATGCTGCAGAGGCTCAGGTTCGGTTCTGCCTGTTGGGGTTGCGTAAACACGCACTACAATTCCAGTACTCTCAGGCCCAGGGGGTTTCTTTGAAAGGCCAGGGGTCTGGATCCTTCTCCGCCTCCTGGCTTGCACCTCCTCTGCAGGCTGATCTCAGGGACCGCTTCACACGCAGTTCCTGGAGAGAGAAGGCCTGCTGCACTGAACGGAGCGGGGAGCAAGAAAACACTCGGCCGGCTTGGAAGGGTTGCTCTTTGACAGTTGTTCCTTCGAGTGGGCTGCTCCGTGGATCTCTTGCCAAAATAGAGGGAGTGTCTTGCCTAAAACATCTTGATTGGCAGAAGCGAGCATTCCAATCTAATAACGACTAAATAGACACCTTGTAATTGGCCCTTGCTAAATTCCACAGCCTGCTTAGAGGATCCTGGCAACATAATGAAAAAGCAGCTTACGCTGAAAGCTAAACAAACAGTAAATGCATCTGCGACCTGGATCTCTTTGCGGGACATTTCCAGTGTCCACGGCTTGGAAAGTAAACCAGCCTTAGAACCACGACCGACAAGTGGCCCCTTCGCACGGCTCCTCTTGTCACCGCAGCCTCTCGAGGTGTCAAAAAAGGGCCCAGGGATAAACGGCTGTTCCAGCCACCAGCAGGAACTTCTAGTTAACCCGTTTGACACTCCCACCGCTTCGGAGTCTGATTACTGCCTTCTTGGAAGGCACTTTCCAGAGCTGGCTTCACATTTGCTTACAGCTGCATGGAAATTTGGGGGGAGGGGGGTGAACTCCTGTTCTGCATTCTCTAATCCTTTCCATCCCGTTACCGTTAGGACTGCATGGGGAGGAAGCCCCTCTTGGCCATTCCTCCCACACCCAGCCAGCCGGAGGGCTCTGGCAGGGAAAATGGACTGGCCTCCCCAGCAGAGTCCAGCAGGGAGGGGGAGGAAGCTGCAATACAGCTCTTCTTCTTCCAAAAAGGCTCCAATAGAATCAGGCCAGATTTTTCCTCTCTCGGCAAGGAAACATCATGGTTCAATCATGCTGGAAAAATCCACTTCCCAGCTCACCCGCAGCGAGCAGGAATCCTTCCCAGGCAAGGCCGGCAGTTTCTGCAAAATCTCAGCTTACATTTAAAGAAAAAATTCCGTTTCCAGCCTGCCTGGCTGTGCAGAAACCTCCCAGTCATGGCTGGAGCACAGAGATGGCCGGCAAGCCTGCAGGGACCACCCCCCCTTGCTAAGGGATGGGGGGCAGAGGATGAAGGGGCTGAGATGCCCCAAGGGCAAGCTGCCATGCTGAGTAACTGGCTGCCCTTGAGGACAGGCTGAGGAGGAGCTTTCGTGCCCAGATTCCCCCAGCAGTGGGTGCTGCCGGAGGGACCAGCCGTCCCAGCAGAGGAATCGGTGGGGAAAAGGAACAGCAAGGACCGATTCCCTGGGGGGAGTCTGCCCTGCCCTGATTGACTGGGGGCAATGGCATGAGTTGGTTTATTTCAGGGCCGTGGGCGGAGGGGGCAGCCAACTTTAACTGATTTGCCTGCCGGGAGGGTGTGGCTGATTTATCAGGAGGGTTGGGGGAAGCAGCCCACCCTGACACACAGAGGGCCGCTCCCAACACTGGACCCCAGCTCAGGGAGGCAGCCACCGAGTGACTAAGAGGACCCTGTGGGGAAGCTGGGGGAGGCCAGAGGTGGACTGTTTGGGGAGGAGCGAGGGCCCGAATGGAAAGGGAGCCTGGCAGGGGAGATGGAGATGGGGAGGAGTGTTGACTGCATCAGGCTACTGCGTTTCGGTGGGAATTTTTCTATTCTAACGAGTTATACAAGTAGCAACGTTTGCTGGGGACAGCAGGCCAGGCCCTGCCGCTCACCCTCGTCCTAACAGGGACCAGCAGAATTGAGGGGAAGGCCGTCGAGCAACCGAACCCAGCC